AACAAAGCTGTTGGATTTATCAGTACAGGGATTGAATAACGAACAAATGGGAAATTTGTTGTTATTAGCCGAAGTGGCCAATAAAATGCCGAAAGCCAAAATAGTCGCTAAAAATACAAATGAATTTAACGGTCAAAATTTGACAGTCAAGATGAACTTAACAGTCAAAGAAGAGAGCGTTAAACAAAAGAGTACGAAAGGACTCACAGAGAAGAAATCAAAAACGAAGAAACTGCAGTGTGAATTATGTGGAAAGATCATGACAGATATGAAAAGGCATATGATGACTCATACCGGTGAGAAGTTGTACAATTGTTCGATATGCGGGAAAAGTTTCTCTCGATTAGATATCAAGGAAGTTCATATGATAACTCACACTAATGTGAAGCCGTACAGTTGTCCGATGTGCAATAAAAGTTTCAGACAAAAACAACATTTGAAAAACCACATGGCAACTCACAACAAAAATAGACCGCTCTTCTACTGTACTACCTGCGGTAAAGGTCTCCTGGATTATCGGTATTTGAAATTACATAAGATGAATCATGAAAGAAGCTGAAAGGCACATTTTAAACTGATAAGTTATATTTCTATGCTTAGTCCTTATTTTAATGATAACATTTTATTACTGTTATTATTTATTACTTGCTTATAAGTTGTTAATTTTTTTTCTCAATTCCATAATAGTATCCTTCTTCTTCCATCTCTTTGCTGTTTCTTTCATTTTAGTGAATAAAATTATCAATTTTGTGTTTACTTGCAGACCTGTTAAATTACTTTTTCGTTATTCGCCCATACATGACAAGTAAATGACATGCTATATGCAAATAAGCACAACTGTTAGTATGATATCTTCTAGCTTTGCATATCATTTGATTTGGGGAATATTTGCGATGTCATCGTCGGAGCTCGATGCGTTGAAGTATTCACATCTCGGTCAAATTCAGTGTGCTAAGTTTCTTTTTACTATCAGAGGAAAAATGGCCAAATCAAATGACGCATCTGAGGAATTTAGCAAAATGCAATATTCACCATTTCTACTTGCAGCAGTAATCAAATATCATTTGAGAACAGTATTTTCAGTATTAGCAAGAAAAGTTAATGAAACTTGTATGCAGATAATATTATAATCGGTATAGAAAATGAAGCCAAAACAATAAGCACGTACGAGGAAGTGAACAACATTTTTAAAAAAACAGCCATGTATATGAATTAATTCATATCCAATTCAAATGAAATCAACGAATGTCTTTCAACTGCTGATAGATGAAGAGGATAAATAATAAGAAATCCTTTGAGACACTACAACAGATAAAATAACATTATACTACCGGACTTGACCCAGGAAGCAACAAAACGACCAATTACAACGAAATTAAAATTTAAAATTCCATCATCAATTAAAATATTACAATAAATTGCTTCCATTTTTGATCCATTAGAACTTCAGATTTTTGTCTTTTAATGACTCATTTTATTGGCGACGTGTTTTTTGAACCTTAGCCTTAATATTAATTTTTGTTTTGTAATCTTAATGATTATGCGACGTTATTGTTTCTGGATAAATCCAATGATTAATTACCCAAGTTTGAAATGGAAATGAAGAATTTGCAACTTTCTGCCACTTGCACAAGAAACTCATAAAGAAAATCATTTCTTTCACTTTAAAATGCAAATGTGCAAGTATATGCATAAACCTGTAGCTAAAAACAAATTTATTCGGAAATATATTCATCTCAAAACTAAAAACACTCTTTTGTTAACATTTCGATACATTTCGATAACATTTCGACTTTTTTTGTTAACCTTTTACATTTACGGATCACTGCTGTGATTTCCGTCCAGGCTTTCCATCCTCCGAAGTGAACCAAGAAAAAAGTGATTAACAAAAACGACGGATATCTTTTCTACTGAGAAGAAATAATCAGAAATTTGAATACTTTGAGATCAGAAATAATCAAAAATTTGAATACTTTGAGATCAGAAATAATCAAAAATTTGCATAGGAAATGGGAAATATTTCCATATATGCAGCAGGTATGAACTCAAAATTCATAAAATTCTGAGTTTATGTGAAATCTTAACTAATTAACGGTGTATAAAAGATAATTCATTTGGATTCGAAATTTCATTGTGCTATTAGAAAGATGCCGAACCCGCCAGCTAAGGAGGATATTTGGGCTTTTGGACCGATTGGTTCACCTTTTCCTGATAATCCGGTCCGAGCCACTGGACAACAAAATATGTATGTAGCCTTATGGTACAAGCATGGTAAACCGATACACGGACGAGCATGGAACAATGGTGGTGTTATCGAATGCTCGTTTCCGTATAACAAGGCTGAGCTAACTGGTGCCAAAGATCTTGGTGGACAGATCCAGGTCTTTTCTTTTATCGATTAGACTGGAAACTAACCTTTTTTGTTTGAAGTACCATTGCTGGGCACTTGTCCATTTTCAGGTGTTGCAGTACAAAGGCGATCATTTAACATTAGGTTTTTGGTATAATTGGATTAAATATAAAGATCGCTTCGAGAAATTTGAAAAAGGAGCTGAATTATTGCGCTGCGGTGATTCGTTCCCTATCTTCTGGAACGATCGAAATGAAGGACCACTCCTTGGCTACGTTGATAATAAAACTGAAATCGGTCAGTGGAGAAATCACGACAGATTGATTTGAAATCAACCATTTCTCTCAACTTAATCCATCGACTGACTAATCCACTCTCATTTTCCTATGAAATAATTATTGCAATTATTGAAGCGCGATTTTCGCATGATGGAAAAGTGGAAGAGGTTTCGGGCGGTGCGCTGAATGATATGCTTATTATCGTGCGGGAACTAAAGGGTGGACCACCGAACTGTGTTTGTCACGAATGTAGTGCTGGACCACCGAAACCGGTTGTTCGTGTTACGCTTGATGAATGGGCAGATTTCCGTTATGGTGATCCATGGCCAACAACTGGCAAACCAGTCCAGGCTCTCAACCGGTACCACTCATTGTCCTAAATTTGCACTGTTTTTGCAAATTGCAATGAGCAATGAGTTAGCAATGAGCAAATTTCAGTGCTCTTAGTACCTTATCTGATGAGAATCCGAATCAATACGTGGCGTTATGGTATCAATCTGGTGAACCAGTTATGGGTCGTATTTGGAACGACGGTGGTAAAATTGCAGCATGTTTTGGTTGGGGTGGCCATGAATATCGTAAAAATATCGGTTCAATCCAAGTTCTATTTGAACTTCCGGAACAGATACGTGGTTTCGATTACGCCTGGAAGCCATTTAAGGAAGCAGCTCAATTTGGTGCCAAAGAATGGATTCCAGTACACGTAGATCATCATAAAGGCAACATTTCTCCTGCCGTATTAATCATCGATGGTAAAGAGATTCTTGGTAAGGTAAGTGTTAACATCGAATATTGAATTTATCCATTCTGTTTTCACTTAAACATTAGCTAATTTTCTTACCTGTATTACTTTCTTAATTCTCTTTTCAGGCTGATATTCGTAACGAACGTGCTACGGTCGGTCACGGTGGGACCGAAAAAGTATACGTAGGTCCCGCTGTACACACGTGCGTTGTTTTATGTCGAAAAGCAAAGCCTGGCTGTACTATTAATTAAAATGCGATCTATTAATAACTTGTAATTTCTTCACTAACATGTATTACCATTATCCTACGTGTATATGCGAATAAAATTTCATCGCTAATTAATGTGATTTAGTTGCGTCAAATTAATGCGAGGAAAATGCAAATCTATTCTTGTAAAATTTGAGATGCTAAAATTTCTAAGGCTTATTTCAATTAATGCTTCAAGCCAAATGAATGGAAAAAACAATCCATTAATATTTTATTGCGCTTTTTTTGAAATTAGCACTTTTTGTTTCGATTTCAGGATTTTAATATATGCATCAGAATGGTATGTAAAGGATATCAGTGTTAAAATAATTAATTATTTAATTGTTTAATAATTAATTATTCGATTATTCAATTAATTATTTAAGAATTATTATATATGAATGCATAAAAAGTTGCGAAAATGAAAAGCTCGAGCTATTTCATTGTACATTAATACATTGTGATTTAGTAAGTTTTAATAAGTTCCAGCAATAAAGCATAACTGTAAGATTCTTTTGTGTTGTTATATTTAATTTTAAATTGTAAAATTCAAATTTCAATCAATTCAATGTGAGGATGATTTTTGATGCTTAGTTTAATTCATCTGATAGCAAAAAAAAAAAAAAAAAAAAGTAACTTTTTAGTGTCTTCAAATGATAACAGTATCTCTTGTTTACATTCTTTTCAGTCTTTATCTAGCCCATTCTAATGTGAATCATATTTAGTTCTATTACTTATTGAT